TAGACAATGATATGTAAAGTAAAAGAAAATTATTGATAAGTTAGAGATAAACAATGCGATAAATTTTCATATATATAAGGTCTTTACCTATGAAATTGCCGTTTTGTATGCAATAAGTGAAAGTACTTATTTTTTCAAACTTTTTTATTTCTGTTATTCGAAGTAATCACCCATGCAATCGACGCATCTTTGCCAACGCATTGGCAGTTTATTGATGCCCTTCTTGTAAAAATCAGCTGGACGGGAGGCAACAAACTCTTCAAAGGCATTTTGTATTGCCTCTCGGGAATTGAATTTTTTACCCACTAAAAAGTTGTCTAAATTTTGGAAAAAGTAATAGTCGGTAGGTGCAAGGTCAAGTGAAATGGGTGAGTTGAGAATGGAATAGGGAGTGGTGAGGGCGTGCAGCTGACGGCGCTGGCGAATAGTGAACCAGTTCAATTTGTGACGAAAGGAGGAGACATGGTCATATTTGCGAAGGTTGAAGACGAATCGAATGCAGTTACTCAGAAGGCCGTCATATTTATTGAAAAGATCTACATTCTGGTCATAATAGCATACATCACCATAATCCAAGATGGGGATAATAAGGGTCTGTACAAGCATAGCTTTCGTTTCGGAGGGGAGGAAATTCTTAAGCCGGTAAAGGGCCCGTAGCGTACCTGTATATTTACTTAAGAATATCGAAACAATTATGCCGCGTTCTTGAGGAGTATAGCAGAACTAAGATTTACGGCTGTTTGCAAAAATTATAGCATCTGGCCGATAGGGTTTTGTGCCACCTAGTTTGCGTATATGTCATGTGAGAGTGAAGGTCGTATTGACCTATCGGAAAAAGGAATTCAGTTCATAATAGCAACGTCAAATGTCAAAATGTCAAACTTGTTGTTTCTATTTTATGCATTGAAACAGTTCACTATTTAATAAAAATGAGGTTAAGAGACATTATTACGACTAGTTACACCCTTGGCACTATGCCATTTGGGTTTTTTGGTGAAAACACATACTGCCTTTTCTAACCGGTCTCTAAAAAAAAATTACAGCAAACAGTAGGTTGGAATGTAGATACAATTTCAAAATGACGGCAGAGCATGTTTAGCAGAATCTGTATCTATACTCGATGGATTCTGACCACCGGATGGCATGGTGGTTTGTGTAGTACTCATAATACAAGCTCTGCTTAGTTTGGGTGGTAGAATATTATTATTATTATTCGATTAACAAATGATGGTGACAATGTGTGTACACCGCGCTTTATTCGAATTTTACGGACAAAATCGAAATTATATTTCAAATTGTTTTCATCTGTTGTCTAGAGCGAACTTCTCCACTCGCTCTAACCTTGGATCGGCGCTACGTAAAATGACTCTGTGTTTGGGTTGTATTTAAAACAATTTTGTAGTAACATACATTTTCAAACAATACTCTCGGTCGAGTACAGATTATTCATTCTTTAATTTTTTACTTTTATTTTTTGCTCTTGATATTTGAACTAGACCTGGAGTCGGAAGTGTATTGTGTGTACTCCCAAATAAAACTAATTTAAATGAATAAATCAAATCAAATCGAAATAAGAAGTTCCTAAGAGGTTCAAGACGAAACAAAGAAAATATCTAAAATGTTCATTTTATCTGATTTTCGTGTCATTTTAGATAGTTTACTTGTTTCGTTTTGAACTTTTAATGAAAATTAATAAAATTTTCGGCACTTTGACACAAAGCGCCATCTAGTTTCAAACTAAGCAGAGCTTGTTCTATTAAAGCTAGATTGACTAATAATTATTATTAGCATGTTTACCATTATCAATAGGCGATACTTAAAGACCTTTTGCCATTCTTTGATTACGATTGCATAAATTATGATAGATTTGTCATTAGAGTGAGCTAAGTACCTAGTTATAGAATGTTATTATTTTCTAATTACTCTGTTTATGTTCTAACGGAAGAATAATGACCTTAGATAGTAAGAGATAACCTATCATTTATAAGATTTCTGTTTATGATCACAATAATTGTGATTATTAAGAAAAATACTAACTCGTCCAAAGAATTTTTTGACTCTTACAAAAAGTGTAGGTAAAATAGATTTTAAAAAACATTTCTCTAAACATGGGTACCTAATTATCAGTCTTCTTTACACATTAAATCTTCAAGATTCTTTTTCGACAAATTAAGGTCTTCTAAGTTCCCGTTCATACAACTCATTCAAATAATGCAAACATTCATAAAGGTCAACTGCTTAGTCATAAAGGTGTAACAAATAAATGGGCAGGTGGTTAAAAGAGAGAGAGCGTAAGAGACAGATTGGCGATCAGACCGAAACGAGTAGACCGGTCTTCCGATGATAAGTGACTACCACGCACTTGTGACTCCTGAATTGCATAGACACTTGCAATTCAGGAGTCACAAGTGCGTTGACGCCCTTTCAGTTCTTCCCCTCAGATTCAGGGGGAGGGGAAAACTAGACCGGTCAAAATAGACATTCACCCTTGCATAAATACCCAAGAAGCTGAATTTTGCATGAACCACCATGATTATAATTATAGTATTAATTGGTACTTTAGTATAAGTGTAAGTACCAGAACTGATAAGAAAATAAAAATATGAATGGTGATTATTTCACTTACTCGTTTATTGGCAAACACACAACTTACTTTGGCACATGACTCCATTGGTGATAAGCACGTAAGACCATTGGTGACACAAATGTTTCTTGGCACTGTGTGACGCTGAATATTGGGCAAGTCATACGTTTATTTTCCAATTTAGTAGCGGACATAAAAATACTTTTATTTTATATCAGACGGATCGATTGATCAAAATTCATTTTTACCCATCGTACAGAGTATTGCACTAGAAAAGTTTATTTCATTTCCTGAATCCCTAGTAACAAATGTGCAACATTTTATGATGATCGGTTAAGCAGTTTAGCTGTGAAACTGTAACAAACAAAAACGAAGACAAACTCACATTCTCTATTAGATAGTTAGAATCAGGATTCAAGGGGAAATCATGTATTAGATTCATTACATTGCCTACAGTTATATCGTATTTATATGTGACACTATTCCGCGACTGTATATCAGCATCCATCCAAACGAATAGTTCTTCGACTAAGGCCCGATTTTTAAAGTTGTCTTAGTATCGAATCTTATCTTAAAACTGTTTTTGAGTAGAGATTTTATAGCTTAACGTTATGTAAAACAAAATCTACCAATTCAAACTCGAGTGAGTGATAGCTTATTTCAGATCGATGTTTACCGGGCCCAAACCCTCCCCTGATTCTGAGGGGAAGGACTCAAAGGGCGGCAAAGCTCTTGTAACTTGAGCAGCACGTGTCATTAGGCGGCGGTAGTTACTTACCATTAGAGGGCATAGTGTAAGTATATTTCACGTCAACTGGCTCTCATCGACAATATGCGCGTTTGGCGTTGCGACCAAACACAGCGCCGAATGCGGTCACCGTGCTCGAGGAAATGTGAAATAAACTCGCACTTCGACCTCTGCGTGTTTGCTCTCCTATACCATTTTTTGGGTATAACCATAGCAGCATATTAGTTATAAACTAAATCGTATGTATTCTACTTTTGTCTATTGTGAATAACAATACCAAAAAAATCATATTCAAATACAAAACGGATGAAATGACCATTGACTCGAATTGGCCGGAACGAAATCATTCGGATGAATCAAATTACTGTCGCAGTTTCCATTATTACCATGTAAATTTAATAACGTAAATGATGTCACTTTAGGAAATTTCAAATTTATCTGCTATCCTTTTCACACGTATAATTATGTCAAGTAACTTTACACCTCTTTTAACTATTTAAATTTAACTATTGACATATTCCCAAATCAGAATGGCTTTTTATCGTACGTTCAATCGGAAATGTTTTTACATTAAAATCGCTTGGTGTTCTAAGTAAATCTATTTCAAAAGACTCGGTTATATTTATATCGGGTACTAGCTTTTGCCTGCGACTCCAGTTTTGTCAGTTATCGTCGGCAAAGTTAAAAAGTAGCCTATGTTACTCGCTGATAATATAGCCTTCCATTGGTGCAATAATTTTTAAAATCGGTTTTGTGGTTTAAGCGTAAAACAGAACAAAAAAACAAAAAAACTCACCTTCAAAATTTATAAATATGAAAGTATGGATAACGAAGAAAGACTACATTCCTAAGGAGGGTTAGGATCAGGTAAGCGGCCGATCATAAAAGATAAAACCAAAAACATTTTTTAAATGAAACGAAGGTATGCGTGAAAGAGGAGAATTGAAGAAGGAAACTCATTGCAAAACTCCAAGTAAAACTGCGAAAAGGGTAAGAAGATGATGATTTTTCTTCCGTTTTTGTCGCAATACTTCCGTTTTTTAAATCACTAATATCCCTGAACTATTTTTGCACGACTTTATCTTAACTATTGTTTCAATTCAGAGTTCCACTCTGCCACATTTGCTGTCTAGGAGATACCAAGTAGTTAACATTCAGTTTGTAAACTCACTCGAAAGTTTTGATTACTACGTATTATCACTACTCACGTTCGTATGTGGTTAATGCGTTTTCAAATAAAACTTTTTGTATTTTTTATATTAATACCAATAATATGGACTAATATACACTCACTCACTCTAGGTAGCAGACATTACATATTTTTGTAACTTTTTCGATTTTATTATCTATATTTTAAAGCTAATTAAATAAGGTTCTACTGATATTAATACTAATTCTTTTTTTACGCCTATACGTAAAACAAAGAACTAGAAGGGAAATAATAGAATTTTTATATGACGTCAACGCAAACTCTTCAACAATTAGTGGCCATTGCAAACTAATTAATAAATTAGCTTTCCAAGAACCAATGGTCCGGGGTCATGTCAATAAACAAACATTTGTTCCCAGTAGAGTTCTAGATAAAGGGGATTTCTTGTGCCGATGTTTCAGTAGCAAGTGTGCTGTGAAGCTGTGAGGTCTTTCGATTTGAATTAATTAATTATTAAAATGAACAAGTTATTCATTATCCTTTTGGCTATCGGCCTGGCCAGTGTGAGTACCTTTTTCTTTTAAATTTTAATATCCATCTAAACTCTTCCAATTGTACTTTTTTATAACTAACTTTTTAAAAGCCGAGTCGAGAGTACTAAAACTCTCCACATGGCTTTTTAGAGTCATTGCAAGTTGCTGTCCATAAAAAGGAACTGCGGTTCAATGGGTAAAGTTATATGTAGTTTCTACTAAGAGTTCGAGAGTCTACTCTTTGTGGAAACTTAAAGAGTTACAATGTTTATTTCCAAATCTTTCTAAATCAGTTGGTAGTCTCTCTATACGGGTATACCATTAAAAATTAAAATTTATTCGACTTTTAAAATATATAATTTTATACTTAATGTAATGTCTTTTAAAAGGTATTGTATTATAGACCTTCTTTGCAAGAGTTTTAATTTACTACCGGTCCTGCTTGTCTAGTCCATCCAGTTACGGTTCGCAGCTATTTCCTGTATGGTAGATTTTCCCTCAATCGAGTTCCTTCAATCGGACAGAAATTTGCTATGCCCCTATTAATATAATTTTTAACTCTTCTACAAATCCTAATTGTTTAAACATATGTTAGTTATAATATAAACTTTTAACAAATCGTTGGATGAAAACGCAATAAACGTTTAAAAACAATATTGCATATATTAACCCTGTTTTTGTAAGGGCAGATTTCATTAGCAGTGAGGCATTACAAAAATATAAAATGTTTGACTTAAAATATTCTCTTGTATCAAGTCGCGGCCGTGCAAGAACCTTAATTTAAATCATTTGTCTTTTTATGTAAATAATGAAAAAAATTAAGGCATACAAATTTTTCTTTTATTTTATCTTAGCTTTTGGCTGTGACTTCGTTCGAGTGGCAGTTGAAAATATTTGTAAAATCTAAGTGCATTAAGGAGCTGTTTTAGGTACATCACGCTATTATCAGTAAGAGTGGAACTTTAGAACGTTAGGTAAAAGTACTGGGTCTTATAATCTTATATTATAGCTAAATATAATTTAGTTGTATTTTAGAACAAATTTAATTAACATAGAAAAGGTTATAGGGAATCAACTTTAAAAGATAGACATGCTGTTAAGGACTTTTTTTAGAACTTTTAAAGGGGAACAATTCTGTTATACATGATTTTTGCGAAACTTCAACCGTTTACGCAGCACAACGGTCGCTCTCAAAAGGAATAATTTTTCCCCGTTTTTGCAACCTTTTTCATTGATACGCTGCTCCTGTTGGTCATAGCGTGATAGTACATTATTACAGTTTATAGTCTTTCTCGATAAATGGGCTTTCTAACACTGAAGGAACACGAATTTAAGAATACTGTGTCCCCTATAACTTTACTTAATATGGCGGCTGTGTGAATGTTGTACCTATTACTATGGCAATGGTTTATTATGTTTTATTATATTATTTCAGGCTCATACTTTTGTCAAACGCGATGCACCTGCAACAGCTACGAGTAGTATAGAGAGCTATATCGAGACTGCCCAAAAGCAGTTGCAGGAGGCTTTTGATCCTGAAGTTATTAAAAAGAACTTTAATGATATTGTAGACAAAGTCGCCGATGCAGTAAGTAGAATTATGTTAATATTGACTTTATAGAAGACCTTCTATTACTGACTAATATTTAACTTTATGTGTATCGGCCAAATTTTGCAATTGGACCACACATAGACCCAACCACTTTTGTGATTTTTTTTCTGTATATCGATGGTTAAATGCTTGTTATATGCGACACCTATAAAACCACTTGGCCTCTTGGGATTTTTTATATGTAGTTATTGTTTTAAAGAACCTTATTTGAGATAATATGCTTAACCGTTGAAGTCTTCACTTCAACCTTTACTTGTTTAAACTATCGAAATCAGACTATAACAAACATTATGGAAGGAAGAAAGTTGTAATACATATGTTATGATCAACACTTTTCCAGACTGTTCTCAAAAATATTTTAAACGTACTCATTTTAAACACGATTTTATATCGATGTAATATTTTCTTTTATAACGTCAGGCGGTGAAAATTGTATTTTTTCTTGTTAATTGTTTTATCTCTAAAAACTTATGTTTTTTTACTTTGTTACAGGCAAAGAAACTGAAGCCGGAAGAAAACAAGCAAAAAGTCTGAACAATATGTCTAAAGAATATATAATTTATTATAGAATATGATGACCATCACATACGTACATACAAATGTTTCACATTTGTTATATTCCCATCACGATGAAATATGTACAATGAATAAATATCTTCTTTAAATAAATATCGTTTGTTATTGTTTAATATTACTATTATTGTATATTTTGATACAAGCCTGTGAATATAGCAAATCGCAAGGGCAACTCAAAATGGTCTTCACAATCCATTCTTCATTACAATTTCGTACAAAAACGAACTAAGTTGCGAAATCCTTGCTAATTAGATATCTTAAATCTTTAGATTTGAATTATGAGATGCGTGATTTTTTACTTAAATTATCACATATGTAGATACGCTCTTAATAAGAACCCGCATAATGATCTTGAATACTATAGAATCGTGTGAAGGATTAGATAACAAATAGTTGTCATTAGACTGATAAAGACCTAACCGGTCTAAAAGTTATGTGAAGATAGCTACAAGAAACTACAGGGGTCTGGTATATATGTAGGTATGACGATAAATATAAAATCATGTTTATATAGCGTCTGGGACAGAAATAGTTGAGAACCAACTTCTATGAAATTTAACAGCGGTATTATCTTTATCAACTCTTTCTAAAAGCTTATGTGTAGTTGATAATTACTTAGCTTGAGCCGCAAACAGTGAATCTAACAGTAAATATAAACATGTGAGTAGTTTCGGTGTAACGAAGATAATGCGTGAATTTCCGTGAATGTGTTTTGGCCTTCAGTAGTATTATGAACATCAAGCAAATACCACTTAAGTTAAATTTTTCCATAGGTTTGACGGGTATTTTTAATGTTTATTATCCCGCTTTCTTTCATTTGTTTCATGTTTATCTAGTCAATTTCATTCTTAGTTTTGAGGCAGTTAACTTGCCTTGGATCTTACTGCGTGTTTCTTGTTATGTTTATAAGTCGCATTCTCATCTTATTCCGCCAGTTATATGTTTCAAACCAAGTTTAAAGGTTTGAATTAGCTCAATTAATTAACCTGAAATTTACAATATGTTAGTTAAATAATTGCTAATACTGTATACTATTAACACTTATCAATTTTAAGATGGCTATTACAATATTTTATTTATTGATCAAGAAACTATTCCGATGAAAGTAAAATTCGGTTCAAATAGGTATGATAACAATAACCTATTTTTACGAGTAGATAAAATAACAGTACTAAATAATCGCAGTACGTATGGTTCGTGTTTCAATAGTAACGTTTATCCCTGGACAGTAATTTTTCTAGATGAAAGATATTATATTTCATTATAATCAGTTGAGTGACGAAACCCTGAAAATGTAATAAACTAACAACCAAGCATTTGCAATAATAAAATTATTAAAATGTAGCCATCCGAAATTACATTAGGTGTGAAAGATGTATAATCATATCATTTTAATATCTTGCGTACAAGCTCAGTACGCTAAACGGGGTTGATGTTACACGTGCAAAAGTCCATGTGCTTCTTTCTTGGCTGAAATCATGATATTTTAGGTAGTAGGTAACTATCCTCTTGTTACTGCGTATGTATTCTAAGAAGTAAGTTTATCGTCACTTTTGTACTGTAATTAGTTGTAAATACTAAATGTATCATTAAACTTTAAGCCTACACACATTATTTGCGCACTGATAGCCGTGAGTATAATATTTATCTATCTTGATAACGAGGTCATAGGAAGTTTAAGTTCAAAGTTGAGTATGATAAGTAGTTAATATAATTTTAAACTATCCCTTAAATACCTATGCAGATAATAATTTATTGAGGAATTCATTTGATCAGACAGTTCACACACATCTTATTGTGTTCGAAGTGCGTTTGTACTTTCTAAGGCAGATTTTTTTTTAAGGCAACTCCCGCACTAGGAATATATGTTGTGTTACTGAGGACTTAACAAATGTATCTGAAACGGACACGAAGACCACCCAGACTCAGAACAATAATTTGTGGATCACAAAAAGTGTTGTCCCGCGTGGGGATCGAATCCATAACACTAAGCGCAGTAGGAAGCGGCGAGATGACCGCTTAAAACACTACGCCATCAGTGCAGTTACAATAAGGAGACATTTCTTCATATTTAGCCTTTATTAGTGGTGTCTTTCACGCTATGCTATTCAATAGAGCTCAAGAAACTAGTGTATAAGGTCGTTACACGTTGTAAGCTGAAATTACTTGACTATACCTCTGTTGGTCTCTATAATTAGAGGACGGACATAATGATACGCGACTCTGGCATCTTTGTAGTATTGCAGTGTATGTCTCATTTACGATACGAGCCTCGCTGTGTTCAGTACCATTTTTTTTTTTTTTTTTTTTTTAACGTGTGGAAATCCCCTCGGACCGTCACACCTCCGGGGTTTGCGGCGGGGTGGTGTGTCGGACTCGGACCGACTAAAACCACACGGTGTGCCACTCTGCGCCTGTAACAGGAGGGATCCGGGAACAGCTGTTGTTAAGACATCCGGACCCCTCCTAGCGCCAGCCCGCTCCTGGTGCGGGCTCCGTCTCAATGTTTTTTCCTCTCTTTAGGCGACGTCCGGCACACGCGGACGCCGCCCCCTCGCGGCTGGCCAAACTAATGCGGGTGGAGGGGAAACCCACCCCGTCCACCCGCGGCCACACTCAGGGCGGCATGAGGCTGTGATAGGCGGGCCTCCGCCGCCCGGTTCGCCGGCGGCGGATCGGGTCCGAGTGGAGGTCGTCCTCCCGGGCCCTCTCCGCCGCCTCCTTCCGCGAGATTACTACCTCGCAGAAGGTTGCGACCGCGGTAAAACAACTGTCGCTACCGGCCATGGAGCGTACTACGGCCGGTAGCGAGAGATCCACTCCGATGACTGCAGTGAGGGCCCGGCGCTGCGCCGCCCATGCGGGGCAGACCGCCAGCGTGTGCTGGGCCGAGTCCTCACTGCAGTCGCAGTGGTGGCAGGCGGGACTCAGTTCCCTCCTAGCGACCGAGTGCAGGTACTTTCCGAAGCAACCGTGCCCGGAAAGCACCTGCGTCAGCCGGAAGGAAAGGGTCCCGTGCTGCCGCCCTGCCCACTCGGCGATGACCGGCTGGAGAGCCTCCACGGCGGCGTACCCTATTCGTACGGCGTACCCTATTCTGGGCGGTCAGAGCCGCCGCCCACACCGGTGCACCGTACAGTGCCATTGACCGGACAACCCCCGTGTACAGCCGTCTTGTCGCGACGCTGGGTCCACCCATATTGGGCAAAAGTCGCCCTAGGGCAGACGCAGCGCCGACCAGCTTTGGAGCAAGCTGTCGGAAGTGCTCGTCGAAGAGCCACCTCCCGTCGAGGATCAGGCCCAGATATTTCATCTGGGCCTGAACCGGTACGAGGACCGAGTTGACCACGATTGAGGCGCCAGGGGGTGGACCACGACGGGGCCCATGAAATAACAGGGCCTCCGTCTTATCTAGGGCCACCCGTAGCTGTGTTCAGTACCCTGCCTCCTATGTCATATGTGTTTTCTTTACTTCAATTTACCAAGAATGGAGAAGAAAGACGTTGGCAAGAAAGATTGGCGTTATGTAGGGCCATAAAAACAGCTAAAATCCTTGTGTAATGTTAGAGTTTAGAACCTCGTATTTTTTTATGATAAAGGGGGCACACGAGAAGACCTGTCACCCATAAATGTCAGGTAAGTGACTTGTAACTCAATTGCGTTGACGGCCGTTGAGTCCTCCCTTCCAGAATTAGAGATTAATTAACTTAATATTTAAATACCAAGTAATTTATGGGGGTACAGTAGGTAGGTGTCGTTTATCATAGGCGGAAATTTGCGTACGTGTTGTAAGCTGATGATAACAATTATGACGCATGTCATGACATTACAGAAGGTCAATAAACCTGATTTATTTTAAGAGTATTATTTAGTGTTTTGTGGTTTTAAGTTTTTGTTTCAAGACATGGTTATTATTTCAATCACTTTATTTATCACGTTTTTTATGAGAAACTAATGAAAGTATAAATTTAAAGTACGTCTATTTCTGCGAATACAAAGCCGACGATTAACAAATAAGAACACTTAACGTAATTTTTCGTGGTCATGTTTTAGCTATTCTTTACTAATCTTATGATTATATATTATTATATATATATACTAATCTTATGATTATAAATGTAAATTTGAATATAAGCGTCTTTGTTCAGCATTAACCCTCAACTGTTTAACCGTCATAACGAAACTTTATATAAACTTTGTCAGGGGTACGGAAAAACTTGCAGAGTACCTGTAGTACTTTCATAGAGAGAAAGTACATTATTATCTCAACTGAAGCCACAAACAAAAGAATGTGATGAGATGATTCAAATAAATAAATGTTTTAACACGTCCCAAAATAGGATACCTTGAGTAAAAGCACGCCCAACAAAATATTTTACAAGAAATTTTAGATGTATACAAGTATGTCAGATATAGAAGCACTGTGTCGTATTGCTGAGTTCCATCACTTAGCATATAAAGAGGCACTTTCTAGATTCCTCTTTATAAAGGGAGCTATCTGCTTTTTTTTTAAATTGCTGTGAAATTTTAAAATCTTTTTGTACGTTTGGACCAGACACAAAAGAATTTATTTACAAAGACTGCTTTTAAGGATCTAAGAGGAACAGTGATGATAAAACAGTGTTTTAGTTTACTTTTTTTGCAAAATGTAAAATTTACGAATAAGTTGTACAAATAATATCAGTAATAATATTAGTAAGTTTCTAGGCAAGCTAATCACCAGATGCTGAGACAACAGGTGAAGCACACCGGTAGTGTACCAGAAACACACGTTAACAATAAGAAAAAGCAATTAAAGAAATTCTATATATTTTCAAATCTGCCTTTTCTTAATCATAATTTTATTTCTTAGTTATATTTCTTAAAACTAGTATAGGAGTTAGATTTCTTAGGTATAGACATACATTTTAATTAAATTTTGTTGTGGAAAAATTTATTCATTGAATTAAAGTATTTTA